CCCCCTATCCCCATGCCCCCAACCAGCCCTCTGAACGTAGAAAGCCATGTCAGCTTTGTAACAAATAATTTTCAGCTTTATCTCGAAATAGTTCTCCTCTATCTATCTAAAATAAGTGAAATTATATTTCGTTTGAAGTCGCCGCAGAAATAGAAGCGAAAATCAGCTTGTTTTACATATATGGAGCCCAACTATAATATGTAATTAGAACAGTCTAGACTGAGTCTTGGCTCTTCTGCAGCACGCAGGCCCCTGGCATTGATATGATATAGGCGACTTTAGAAGCTATAAATAGGGAAAATGCACTTGCGCAATGTCGACAACAACGATATGAGGCCTTGGAATTATCTCATTTACATTTTGCGAATATACGAATTGCGCTTAACCGGGACCCGGATTGTCGCTAATGCATGCAAAAGGTCATAGTGCACTTCCAGCAGTTCTCTCATTGACTGACACACATACAAACCAGCCTGGGAGGTGGAGAGAGCCTGTTACCTCAAGGCAGCTTTACGTATTACTAAAATGGAATTGGAAGTGTTTAATTCAAATAACTTTCTGTTGGACTCCAAAGAGGTAATTTTTGATATTTTTCCTTCCTTACATAAGGTTGAAATGTAAGTGAACCAGCTATTACGTAAATTTCAGGTCTTCTGGTTCAGGGATGCCCTCGCCCAGCCTCGACTTGGATTGTAGAGGGCGAAGGGAATGTCCTACTTTTGGTTTGTGTTTGTTGGGTATAGAATGTAATATTGTTATAACCGTTCTGGTTTTGTGAGTTTCATCGTTGATTTTGTTCTTGAAGTTACTTATTTTTATGACCGTAAGTAGTACTTTCAAAATATTCATATTAAGTCTTATAAGTGGTATAATATTGTTTTGGTAAAGTTGGGTTGGTATTTTCAACCGGATGTTGATAAAAATAACCAATGATCTCTTCCGGTATGCGCGCATGCGCGGGTTCCTTTCGTTTCGTCACTTCCAATTTCGCTGATTCACTGATCACGGCAACGAGTGAGAACCTTCCGGAACAACGAAAAAATGGATTTCCGCTAACATTACGTATAATGCCAAATTTCGCCAGCTGATGAGATATTGGAGGCTTTGCACCTGTGGATTTGTTGCAAGTTTTGAGTTGGGATTCTTTCTTACAGGTTAACGAATTTTTAACTGATCCCGGTAACCAGTGAAAACAATTGCTCTGAAGGCGTGTGCTGTGTCTGGTGCTATTTATAGCAACGTATCATCGCACTCATAACTGACCCAGCCCAGCGCTGTGCTCTAATCACAACAAAGACAGCTCACCTGAACGAGAAGCTACGGGGGGAACAAAAATAACCACCGCGCGATTTTTTCTTTGTTTGTGTGCCAGACCGAGAAGTGAAGTTCCTATTACTGAGATCTGTTGTGAATCCATTTTGTCATAATATTTTGTAGATAACAGTGCAAGAATCTCTCAGTTTGGTCTGCAACCAAACCAAGCATTGTCAAGACAGTTTTCGTTTCTGTTGTGTTTGGCTTGCCTCGAAAGGTGTTGGCCTACACATCACTTTCTGATCACAGTAAACTGAGACTACCATCGTTGGCGTCAGCTGTGTTGTGTGTAAAGACCTTATCTGGTCTTATATGAAAGGTCATAACATTGTTATTTTGGTTGTGTGAAGTACATCCTTCTCACTTCTCGGAAAAGATTTGGGAGTGGTCAGCGTAATCTCATGTATTTATTGTGCCATTGGTGTGCAAAAACACAGCAGACATGATAAAAGAGTATTTCACAGATGGACTGATAGGGCTTGCTATTTTGCTTAGCTTATTTCGAACAGATTTAACTGGAATCAACAACATAATCAACTATCCGGAAGTGCAAGATATTATTATAGGACAGACAGCTGCCTACTTGCCTGCAAATTTTCACAGTCCTCATAACTCTTTCAATGTGTTCAGTAACCAAAAACACATTGATTTCGACAATGAAGCCTTCAGTGCCTGGTATCAAAACATTCACAATTTACCACTGTTTCGAGAAAGAAGTCAAAACGAAATTGAAGCATTTCTTGTGAGTGCTTCTGGTCAGAATATAGTAACAGAGCAGTTTCAAGCAGATCCGCCAGCCTCTGTTGATTCGGAAACCAATGATGTTCCCGAAATCTCCTCTCCAACTTTACCCCTGGAGAGTGCAAATTCATATACTACTGATGTTGAAGTTTCGAGCACCGCATCTGAAGAAGCAGCCACAGCTGCTCAAAATTCTACAACGGAGAGCCCTCCTGTAGTTGTGGATGTTTCGGTTTTCTTCAAGAGCCCCTTTCCTGGATGTAATCTCACGAAAGAGGTAATGGGCGTTGACGAGAGCCAAGGCCAATGATTTCATTCAGTCTTTTCAAACGATTGTGATTTTTGCTCTGGAAAACTGACCTGTCATTATGCAGGATGAAGATGTGACTCTTCTGATTTTGAATATTATAAATTATAATGGCAACCAATTCTTTTGTTTGTTTTTATTGATAATATTTTCTTTTCTTTTTTGTGTTTCTTTTTCAGGATTTGGACTTGATTGATGTACTATGGAGGCAAGATGTGGACTTGGGTGTTGGCAAGGAAGTTTACGACCAGAGCCTGAGACAGGAGTTGGAGAAGGAGCGGGAGCTTGAGGTCGTCAAGCAGCAGGAGAAGGTAGAGGAATTTTGTTCTATTGTTTCTTTTCAAGAGTTTATTGTAAAATCTCTGTGTTAATTTTTAACTTCCCTAAAAAGATTCTAAACGTAATTTGTAAGTGCACTTTTTTATAAAGTGTTTTGAACTTTTTGTGATAGAAATAGTAAAATTCATGTAGGGGTAAACATGTATTGTTTAAAACTTCAGTTTTTACCATTTGTAACTTACGGGTACTATCTTTTATCTAATGGTTGATTGTGTTAACGTTTTTGCTTCCTTTTTTTGTGTCGCTTACAGCAAAAAGCCCAACGTCTTGCAAGAGAAAAGGAAGAGCGTCAAAAACATGAGCAGGCCAACAAGTGGCTGAAGCAGAACTTTACCCGGGATGGGGAAACAGGTGGGTACACTAGTAGACTGTCATTTTGTGGTTCAATGGACATGTCTGGAATGCAGGGATGTTGCTTCCTGAAACAATGAGCAATGAATGAATGTGGTTATTTTGATGAACTCATGGGAGTTGTCTTTTCTGCTTTCTCTCTCTACTGTTGTGTACATAAAAGGCCTAATTGGTGTCTGCTGGGAAATTTGTCAGCCTCCTCACCAGCTAAACAGGACCAGTCCAGAAGATGACAAGTCTTGGCTTTCTCTTTCCTAGGCTGATATTTTGTACAGGCATTGTGGGAATTGAATTTCAGTAGAGCTGCTTTATATAGTTGGGAGTGGTGGAAATATTGGCTGTATGTCTTGTGAATTTTATTCGTAGGCCTAATAAATATAATAATAATAATAAATAGCATTTATACTGCGCATTTCCATTGTCTAAAAGATGCTCAATGCGCATTACAACGAAAAAGACATAACATCTTAAAAATTAATCGACAAGTGCGTACGTAAAACAAATATACATCGCTTCTTATAGTTTGTGATCTTTTCTTTGTTTCCTTTAATCAACAGAAAGTTAAAAATATTTCCACTACTACTTGTGGGGGGGGCTCAGTAAATTCAAATGGTCTTCTGTGCTGATGTGACTTTGCTTCCTTGTCAACTGTGTCGAGGCAAGTTTCACTGAAAGACTTCACGTGGCATGTTTTTTTTCTCTTTTCTAGGTGAATGGCTACGCTTGCAGAATGGGACGGTGGGCAACAATGGGAGTGTGGCTACAGCCCCTCTGCCAGTCACCCCGGACAGTCCCACTGATGTAAGTGACGGGAACACATTTTGTCCCCAGAAATGTTCCTTGTTGTTGTACATTGGTGAATGTGCAGTGTGAAGATTTGAGAGCTTAGTGTGGACTTGCTAGTGTTGATATTATGTTTATTGTAGTTCTGATAATTATAATTCCAACTCCTCGGAACTGTCTGTTAAGTGTGTCTAGTTTGATGTCTAAAAGAAGCTTAGAAGTAGGTTAAGGCTGAAATATTTCAATGGCTGCATTCTTTTATTGGAAAAATACCATGGTGGGTAATGGCAGGCAGATATTGCTCAAATGTTCATTAGCTACACTGATTCCCATGATCTTGCTATTTTATCAAGCTTAGTGTCCTGTATCATGTTAGGGTCTGAACATGATTGTGTTTCCGATTCGTAATTCTAGCCGAAGCGATGTTGAAAGTTTTTATGGAAATACATCGTGTATTAAGAGAAAATGTTGTCGTCTTTGTAACTGGACCATGAGTACTGTGATAGAGATACATTTTTTCGTTCATCTCTTCCTCTTGCAGCAGTTCATGACCCTGGAGGCGGCTCTGGATTACATCTCGGCCAGCGTTGACCCAAATCTGTTGCGCAGCTTGGAGAACCCTGAGCAGACGGCCAACGTGGTGGACAGTTTTGGTGACGACTTTGGTTCCAGTTTCGTCGCGGATGCCTCGCAGCATGAGCTCCAGGAGACTCAGGAACAGGTGAGCGGCTGCTTCTGGGACTCTGCAGGATAATAATAATAATAATAATAATAAATGACATTTATATATAGCGCTCCACCCCGATTAAAGTACACAGGCTCTGAGCGCTTTTCAATACCGTACAACGTAGTAACCTAAAACGTTGTGTTCTGACTAAAGAAAATTATTACAAATATACATCTTATTAATTTAAAAACAGAAACAACTTCAGCTGATATTTGAATATACAGGATTGTTTGGATACTAATAGATAATAATAGATTGCATTTATGTAGCACTCGGTCCCGTATGAGTATAAACTGTGGGTGCTTTACATATAACATCACGACCTATAATTATCTTAAACATCTATATGTTATAACAATTTTGTACGTTATACATTATTGGGCACTCTCATAAGCACATTTTTCTACAAATCAGATGGCGTCAATATCATAGAAATGGGCAAGGGACACAAAAAAAAAAAATAACATCACGACCTCAGTGCTTTCTTGTCCTATCTCCATTTTTAATGAGTGAGCTTTTAAGAAGTCACATTTTCAACGTGTTTACTGGGAGTACAAGTTTACACACTCGAGAAATGTTTTATAATATGAACAAGAAAACCAGTTCAGCCAGTTTTGGCCTTTGATGGTGGATTGTTATAAAGTACCGCGTTAAAGGTGTGGAAGATTTAATTGATGTTACATAAATGTTTTAAGTATTGTTGTGGTTTGTGACCTCAGGGATGCAAAGATGAAAAAAAAGAAAAAAAGAACTGCATTTGAAATTCATAAGTTATGTATGTCTTTATGTGAGTGGAATGGAAAGTTAACCCTATCCGTACGTTGTGTTTTACTATCATATCCATACAACGTGGGGAACTCTGTGCCACCACTTTCCAAAGAGGAAATTTACTTGTTAATTTGATCCGTACGCTTTGCATAGCGGTGTTTCAAAATGATTTTTTGAGAAATACTGAAAGTTTCAAAGAGATCTTCACACTAGAAGTATTCTAAAATATTATAAAGAATACAATCCTTGGGGG